TTCATCGGTAATAAATGGTAATAAAATATTAAATATGTAATTTTGCAATTTTCGTCCATTATAGCAAAGATCAAGTTAACTGGTCTATTTGAAGTGAAACAGTTGACGACACCCATTGACGACACCCGTCAATTGTTTCAAACTCGGGCTAGACAATCGGAGCGCAGTTGTCACAGTAATGATGTGGCAGAATAATTTACAAACAAATTAAATGACATTTCGTCTCTATTTGTAAGTCAATGCTATTTCTGGAGAAATACTCGATGCTTGGACAGAACTATTTCATACATTTGTAGTATGATAGCCGAAAGAAGCCTTTGTACAAATTATTTTTCAATTAAGTTGGACACTTATGAGGTACTAACTTATGATTACCTTTATGTTTTGGATATACCACCTACACGTAAAAGGAGCTTTGTTTGTGGTTTTCTCCTTAATGCGTAGGTACAGTTTAACTCATGAATTTCCCTGCTTACGGGTTGTTCGCCGATAAATAACAACTTAGAACTTTTCAAAGCGAGAATGAAACATGCTTTTTCGCGAAGCGTTTTCCATCCTCGATTAAGTAGTCTGATTATGTACTTACCATCAAAGAGGTTGTGGTAGAATGTTGGCAAAGATACGTCACACTGCCGCTGCTCTCAGGCGAGGGTTCTTCACACGTTTTCCGAGGGCTGTGAACCTTCTTCGACGTGCAGGTTTCATCATGACGTTTTCCTTCACCGGAAAGCTCATGGTAAACAAATTACATTTCGCACATATATTCCGAGAAACTCAAATGTTTCTGGAGATTAGATAGCTAGATAGATAGATAAAAACTTTATTCACCTCCATGACAACTTATTTACGTAGGTACCACCAAAAGGCACCTTAAATGTTTTTTAATTAATAAGAGTTATTATATTATATATTATATAATAAAATAATATATATTATATATATATATATATATATATGTATATATTATATTATATTATAATATTTTAATGAATTTTGATGATTATTTCGATATTATAAAATTTAATACCAAATAATAATAATAATGGATAATTATAATTTTTACACAAATATTCATTAAAACAATACAATTATTTATAATGGAAACAAATAATGTGTAAAATATATTGATTAATGAATTTATTATATTGGCAATGTAATTATGTAATAAATAAATAGTGTATAGGAATTGAAACTATTTTTCCGGATTTATTTATTTGTTTTTTCAAGCAAACCGACGTTTCCGGCCCTTTACAGGTCCCATGGTCACGGTTGACTGAGGTGGTACACTCTTTAACCAGTTATGTTTAATATTGATAGGGTGGTTTGCAAATATACGCGATTTAAATCCGGAAAAATAGTTTCATTTCCTATGTGTAACAATCGCGAAAACCTAAGAATTCGATAAATAAATAGTGTAGTTTTTAGATATATAGTTAATGTAATATTATCTCACAACTAACTAATAATCACTCAATTTGCAAACACCCTTACAACACATGCACTTATTATAACTTTAAAATATTGTTAACACCTCATTATCCTGTGACTGCAATAAATTATTATGAATCATTGCATTTGCATCGCTGCATTAAATTTTTTATTAAAATCGCGCGCGCGTGTGTAAAGGTAGACGATTAGCGACTGCATCGCTACTGCATCGCTGTTAAATGTCGCTGTGTGTAAACGCTCTTAATACCAACGGAAAAGATACCCTCCTTATCATAACTAACGTATTGGACATATTTAGCGAAATTGAGATCTGGGATCAGGGAGACGAGCCCTACAACCAACCCTCTCTAATTGTTTTTTTATATCTTATTTGTCAAATTGTTAAACAAACCTTTTCAGGTCTCAGTCTCAACAGTTTTTTTTTATAAGAAAATAGGTGCGCATTTGACCTCCTGATAGAAAGTTACCAAAATGCAATTATGTGTTAGTTATTACAAGGAGGTTAGAAAAATTCTTGAATGCCGATTTTATTATTGCGATTTCTATGGTAACGGTGTAATGAGTGAATGAGGCACTGGGTGATATTTAGGAAGACGGAGGGGAAAACAAAATCCACTGATATTCCGATCTAATAATGTTCCAATGAACGCTAGTTCAATTTATTAGGCAATACTTGAACAATACTTGTAAGTCTCAAGAAGAGCCACTTGATAGAAGTATATTGATTGTAAATTGATTAACGGACCTGAATTTGCAATAGGTACCCCACTCATTTAATAATTATTAGACATGGAACTTATTATTCAGTTATTACAAATTCTAAACGAGTTTCTTTACTGCGCACATTTTGGGTTGTAACAAATCAAACTATTAGTAGCAGTAGAGATTCTTGTGAAAGATTTCGTCTTTTTTCTAAGGTAACGGTGTTGTACGAGCAGTATAGATATATCGTAACTGAACACTGTCGCGCTCATTACACGTGTACTTTAAGTACAAAAAAGACCTTCGGACAGTACGGTGCTTTGCATATTTTATATCGACCTACCTCAACTGGGCAGTGTATTCTGGGAAACATATAAAGTACTATCAAACATACATTACTACGAACATTCTACATTTGCATACATTGGGTACGAACCCCGATATTGGTCCTTCAAGATGTGCTCAACATATTGAAGACGAGAATAATTTACTTATAATGAAAACAACAATCAATCATAACACAGTCACATAGTCGTCAACCACATACATAGTTCACTATATTTAAAATACATACATAATTTAAATGTATCCATAAAGCACAAGTTCGATCATGTATGTAGTACTGCTGCCAACTTTGGGACGGCTCTGCCCATTACCAGTTAGCTGCCTTGGACTCGGTGGAGCGAAATAGCAAAGAGACTTATTAACAACAATTCTCTTATGGAGTCAAAGCTACAAAATGTCGACTATCGCAGAAAAGGAGCCTGCTTGTCGGTTTTCTATCGGATACATTTCGGGGAGTGTGCGCAGGAACTATTCAATTTAGTTCCCCATCACCGTTCCTCATTCGGTCGACTAGAAGATCCGGACAACTCCATTCTTATGTCGTTGATATATTACACATTCGCACTAAGCGCTTTGTTGCCTTCTTTCTGATGCGTACGGCAAAGGAATGGAATACTCTGTGTGTTCTGTTTCAATCTGTGTTTCCCGAAAAGAATTTGGGGCTAGAGTGAATAGGCATTTTTAGGCAAACGTGTACCATCGTCGGTCACATCGTCGCTAAACATCAGGTGACATTCTGGTCAAGAGTATGTCTATTGTTTATTTTAAAATAATAATGTCCCTTTGAAATAATTAAAGTTGAAAGTTGTAATAACAAAATGGTGCCTAACTAGTTGATACGTAGAGTAACCAATAAACATGTAACATTAAATTTAAACAGTTAATTTGTAAGTACTCAATTACCTTTACTTTTAATACTCTCCTATGTTATATAGGCAACTTCTAAATAAAACAACACAATAAAGGCCCATTTAGATGGAGAGAGTTTATCGCACGCTTCGTAACAAAAAATCGTACGCGATTATCGTAAGCAATAATCGCCATAAGATTATCGTATCATAATGTTTACATTCAGGCAAGAGCTAAAATCTCGCCTACGATTATGTCATACCAGATTCGCAAACAACTTAATCGCCTCCTCTACTGTTTACACAGAGAAATATGTAGTAAAGAGATTCTTGCTTACGAGTTTTTCGACTAGTCTAAACACGATCTCGTATGACATTTTTTCAAGTTCATACGATTATCGTACAAATCGGTTCGAACCGTTTTGAGTGCGAGAATTGCCATTCGAGTTCAGTGATTACTTCGGTATTAGCTATGGATATATCAAAATGACGCAAAAATCATTCAAATTTGGAACTGTTGATAATATTAAGTTCATTGCACTGTTTAAAAATATACATATTTTCTTTTCTTTTTAAATTTTATAACATTTCTTAACCCAAATTATTTTTCGCTCTCGTTTCATTAATTCTTGTCTTAGAAAAGCAGTGAGAGTCAAAACACCCTCAAGCTTTCAAGTTCTGTTTACACGGAGATGTTCAATATTGAAAAGAGAGGCGATTATCGCTCACGTGGAAGGGCGATAATCGCGAATGTTTAGACGAGGAAAGTTTCTTATATTCTTTCGATAATCGTATCTTCGAGACGAGAAACTCTCTCCATCTAAATGGGCCTTTACTCGAGTCACAATATCTATTGTAATGATCACTTGTTTGTGTATGTTTTGTTAGGTGCCCTAAATAAATAAAAATAAAACAATTTAAAAAATAACGGCTTATTTGCTGGTGCAGAAATTTGGCACTTAGTTTACGTCTATGACTTTGAAAATTTTAAACGTTTTGAAAACCTTGATGTTCATCAGGGTCCGAATTTCTAAATAAGATACCGGTTGATATTTCGAAATGTGCCATTTACGAGATTTAAAACTACAGTGTAACAAAAGAATTATATTAAAGGTTATAATTATATAGTTTTTGCGTACTTGGATGACAAAAATTCGTGGTAGTGACTAGAGGCGAGGCGTAAAATTGTCGTTACCTTAAGAACAAGTGACGCCTTGGCAATACTTAAACGCAACTTATTGGCACACACGGTACTAGTATATTTCATTTCACTGGTTAACTTATTCTACACTTAAAATTTAGCACAAAGTGTAGAATTTGTTAATACGTGGAAAATTTTAGGCAAGCTGATGGAAATGGAGTCATATGGACGCCTCGCTACTGGTTAGAGTGACCCATTTAGCTCTTGCAGGTAGTCTCGATCTAAGATGTTTGAAATAAAAAAATAAATATTGTAAATGATAAGTCTATTTAAATGTATATTTACAACAACCCCTAAAGCTTTTTGTTCATTCTTCTCCGGGAAATCTACCTTACGAATGAGCAGTAGAGTTTAATCAATATGACGTTTTCAAGGGTAATTTGCTGACCTATAAAATAAAGATGATTGATGATGAGCTTTTGTCAATAGTGTATTTACTAAAACTATTTTTGCAGATAACGGCGCGAAGCTACGACGGGATGGTATATTGAACCTTTACCCTTTTCCAAGGGTGGGTCGTTCTCATCACACTTGGCAGGTGCCACTCAACGACTTCATCTTAGGAGGTAGGATTTTGTGAATTCTTAATTATTTGGTGTAGTTTTAACATATTTTTTTTTTTAAATTGTATTGTAGATATTAGAATAGTTTGTAAGAAAATGACACTATTAACCAGTAGACACTATTGGTAGCAACAGAGCTTTTTGTGAAAGAGTTCGTCCAGGGAAGTACTCCCACCTTACCTATTTCTGCAGCATTACTGTGTTCCGGTTTTGAAGGGTAAGGGTGCTGGTGAAATTACAGGTACATGGGCCTTGTCAATTTATGCCTCAGGGTGATGGGCGCAGTGGCGATACCCCTCAGATCTTTGCGATTTTAAGCTCTGAGTGGCACTGCAACTGTTATGGACAGGCGTGTAGCTTACCATCAGGCGCACGACTCGTTGGTCCCGTCACTTGATATTATAAAAAAAACCTTGTAAGACTCTGTGTAAAACAAAATGTACATAATAATGTAAAGTAATTCAGATACAGACAATATTTTTCCAATGATCATATAAACGCCCAGTGTATATAATAATCATAATTATAGCTTCATACAAATTTAGAAACGGTTATTTCCCATATTGGTTCCACCGGGTTAAACAACTGCTAGTAGCTGGAGCCCTGGCATGGTATCAGACACTGATTCGAGTCCAGTCAGATCGAAGGAGTTTCTATTTTTGTGTTTGATGTTTGTATCCATAATAATTTTATCTACACTCATTTATCATAAACCCTCTATGATGTCTTCAAAAAACGCAAATTACGACCAGTAGGGCTAGCACGATAGGGGCGACTAGCGCGAGAGCGACATAAAGCGCGAGATACTGCTATTCTCGCAAAGAGATCTCGCGCTTTATGTCGCTCTCGCGCAAGTCGTGCCTTATCGTGCTAGCACAAATTTATCGTGCTAACAAATTTTATATCTGTGAAAATGCTATTATTGCCTATAACATCGAATTCGATTTTATTATTACATTCAAATGTCGAACATCTCTGAAAAACAAAAGAGTTAGATTCGACCTCAATTATAATATCAGTCAAGATGAAGTTTTATTCGAAATGAAATGTCAATAGCAAACAATTTTGTCAAATCTCACACGTTACGTGATATCGAACAATATGATAGTTGGAGCCGACCCTAGTTTGTCTATGAATTAAAAAAAACTACGGTTGCATGACATGCGTCAATGCATCAATTCCGCAATGTCGGTCGTAACATGCGGTTCACGAACACATCATAGGGAGGTTATAATATGTATAATAGATAAAGTAGTGTATGTAACTGTAACAGGCGAGTTTCATAAAAACATCAAACGAGTGTTTTAATGCCTTTCATTATGTAACAGTCACATAAACTACTATTTAAAAAAAAACCTTGAAAGTTGTGTACATCTATTTGCCAAGTTTTATCATGCTGGCGTCAGACGCCGACCGCACTAAAGCGAGCGCGCATCGCCAAGCGTTGTAGTTGAAAAACAGGACGCGACGCGATGCTTCGACTTTGCGCCTGTGTGAGTTGAGCCCTAAATATGAAAGGGACCACTACCTACTACTAAAGGGACGTACCTCGACTGACGAATTATCGAAATCACTTTACAAATGTCTGAGTAATCACGTAACATACAAACAAAAGTATACCGTCGAATTGAGAACCTCCTTTCTTTTTCTTCGTTAAAAACGAAGTGTAGTTTGAGACCTTGTGATCGGCGAGATTATTATTATTCAATTTAGCACTGATCCTACTTTATTCTTAGAATACGAACCTGAAGCGAAGCGGCAGTTGTACGCATTCCCGCGCGTGGGCCGCAGTGAGTCGTCTATGATCCACCCAGAACCATTCCGTGCAGACCAACAGCAGTCCGTTGCGATCCGCCGTACGGACAGTCCCGGCATGTGGTTCGGACCTCGGCTTGGCAGGGCGTTTAAAAGCGATGAAGATGGCAAGTTTAAAATACTGTACATTAGCCATTACGGCCTTTTATCGTAGTACCTATATTAGGGCAAGTAGTGTATCTCCACACAAATGTAGCAGTACTGCTTGGATGTGTGCACTTTCGCAGCGCAGCGTGTACTAACACACACATGCGTATAATCTCGCGAGGCGCTCGCGTTGCAAAGCGAATTAAGCACGAATTAAGTAACTGAGACGAATTTTGATAAAAAAAATACTTTTATTTTAATGCCAGCCTAACGACCAAGTTAGTAAATGTTAGTAAATAAATAAATTTCTTACACTTAACACACTCGCCATTAATTATAATATATAAAATCTTTTTGTGTCAAATTTGGAGTGAAAACCTCGTATGTGATTTCCATTGACTTTGGTGATTTCTATGTAATTTTTCAGGACGAAGATAAAAATGTGGTGTAAAATGTAGAAAAGAAATAATGCTTGTAGTTAGCATTTTAATTAGTTAATATCAGATAATTTAAGTAATTAATGATTTAGTTAACATTTAATAATTATAATAGTTATGTATTATAATTATATAGTTTGTTATATATTAATTACTTTTTTTTAATAACGCACACACTCAACATAGTCCCGCACTAGGGAAACCCTGAGTCGCGGGTGCCATGGACACACACATAGACACCCACAAATTACACCCAAACTCGCGAGATAAATAAATGTAGGCCATACAAATATTTCTCCCGGCCCGGGAATCGAACCCGAACCGGGAATGGGACCTCTGCGTTGCAGTTCGGCATGGTAACCGTTCGGACACAGAGGCAGTTAGTTTTATAATAATTATTTAGTTAACATTTTAATCAACAACATGTTGATAAAATAATAAATAAAAATGATTATCACTATTTTAATCAACAACTATTTCATTTTTACATCACTAATTACAGGTTTCTTACCACAATATGGTTTTATTTTCACGATATTTGGGAACGGTTACATGCTCCATGGTCGTCACCTTAAATCCTATGCGAGTGTAAACGAGTTGAAGGCTGAGGTTCAGAATACGATTTGTAATACAATTCATCACAACACGTTATTAAAAGTTACTCAAAATGAATTCGTTAAAAGATTAAATTTGTGTATCCAAGAAAATGGAGCTCATTTCGAGCAACTAATTAGTTAGATTACCATTTTTTTCGTTTTATTAAAATACGTTAAGATTTCATGTTTTCTTTTTTCATTTAATTAACCAATTTTGTGAGAGAGTTTTTATTCTTATAATTAACCCTATCGATCGTTGCAATAAAAGTGCAGGGTGCATTTTTTTCAGATTAAAGCGGGTTCGATTCCCGCGTGTTGCTAGAAATTTTCGAAAATCTATGAATGCAGTTTTATTTCTTTTAAAAAATAAATGAATGTTTCCTTTAAGTAAAAACTTCTATCTTCAGTATTTAGAGTACTTTCCCTCCAGGCGGCATTACAAATTTCCACCCTGTATATATCAACTCTCGTTTGCACTGAAATTACAAATTAGAAAACTCAAATAGTACAGTGCCAACAATTGATGGGTACGTCTCCGTATATTCCAAAAATATTCTGTATTGGCGTGCTGTTCCAATCGGTGGTGTGGGGAAAAACAGTAAAACATCTAATTACAAAACAATCGGAATCAAATTTCATCGGTAATTAAATATGTAATCCATTGACAATTGACATCCGTCAATTGTTTCGAATTCGGGCTGGCCAATCGGAGCGCATCTATTTCTGGTTATATACCCGATGACATGGGCCTACTCCCGTTCTCCGGCCAAAACAATTACTGTCAAATAGTAATATTCTGCTGAGAGTTCGATCTTTGCATTAATAATCATAACAAAACTAATGGTGTCGAGTTCTTGGGTTTTCGCGATTATTACATATTGCCTATATGAAATTATGTTTCGGATGTAAATCGCGTATATTTGTTTTTTCAAACAAACTAAGGTTTCGGGCCCTTTATATGTCCCATGGCCACGGGTCATTGTTTCATTTCCTAAAACTAGTGGAGTTATTTCACATAAAATCTCAGTAATACATTTGATCAAAAAGCGACGGTAACTTATCACAAACTCGAATTTAAACCGTATTATAACGAAATCTTTGTTCCTTCAGGATATGTTGGATGTTTATCGTAAAGACGTGATTAGGTTCGGTTAGGTTAGGTTTAAAAGAAAAAACATTTTCGAGATTATGAAAATTCGAGCAAACGTTATTTCTGGAAAATGTCATTTCGGACTTGTGATAGGTAACCAAAAGTGACTCATAAGTCTGTTGAGGCACCTGTAAATGTACCGAGTGCGGTGAGGTTTCAAATACCTCTATAAAGATCTATAACAAAAAACACATAGAAAAGTTTCGACAACTCGTCGGTAACTTGATCTGTGGCTCACAGTCTAGGTGGTGAGAGCAATGCTACGGTGCAGCATGGTCTCGTGGGTGCAAGTCCCAGCGGGTCAAAGAAAATTTTTCTGTTTGATTTTTGTATTAATAATCATTATAATACTATGTTTTTATCGTCACACCGACTTTCCTCAGGTCAACTGCGTCGTTTGACTTGGGAGCGTATGATACAAGAGTCTCGTTGTAGTTTTATGAGGCATGATATTAGCTACTAATATCGAGTATGGTATTATTTCTCAAATATATTATCTATACTTTTAAACTTACGCGTTGCATTGTACTAACATTTGAAAACGGGGATAAAAACGTTTAAACACGAATAGGTATTTTCACACCTACCTATTTTCACGAAGTTTCGGCCGGTACAAATTGGTTGAAATGTCGCCGGGAAATCAGGTACGTGTGAAAATACCTATTCGTGCTTAAACGCGTTTATTCCCGTTTCTAAATATATTGTCATTTGGCAGATATCACTATCCAGAACGAGAATGAACGAAGCGAACCAGAACAAATTGAGCTCGATCACGTGGAAAGAAGCAAAAGGCAGATCAAACTTCTGTAATTGGCCCTGATTATTCCGCTGCAGTGTCGCCATCCACTTCACTGATGATTATCACCGAATGCAAATTTATTCCGATCTCTTAGTACCTATAATTATTAAAATACGCAGATCTAGCATAGTTTAGTTACATGGTCCCAAACTTTTGGTATAAGAAGAATATCTTAAAATAACAAGCTTTTTAATGTACACACAAAATACTTCCTGCACTGATTACTTCTATATACTATTTAATTTATTTGATGACAAAGGTAAATCACACTCTTCATGTAATAAGGTCACTTTTGCAAAATGACGACTTATTTAGCAGAGGTTTAAAGATGCTACGAACGAAATGTGATCAAGTTCTTACGTTTTCATTATTGTTACATATGGGAAATGAAGCAATTTTTTTTCTGTCTAAATCGCTTATAATTTGTTTTTCAATTGGTCGCATGGTCAGTTAAGTTAAGAAAGTTATAAAATTTCACATAATATACATAATATGTTTAATGTAGTTCGTATATTTTTTATGCCATTATTGTGATAGAAGCATTTTTGACGTATGATCATATGCGGCTTTGTTATACCAAGGATACGAAACAACATGTTGCGTATTACGCTTCTCTTAAAATATTTTAAAAGTTAAAAAAATACAGCGAATAACAGTATTAAAAACAATAATAAGTTTTGACTAAAACTTGACATGTTTTTTCTGCAAAAAAAAGCAAATCAAGTGCTAGCTAGAACGACATTTTTTCCATCCTCTAAGAGAGCGACGTTTGGCATGAAAAATGTTCTGACACTCTTTGCTCTTCAAGCGGCTTCACATATTTTTTATTAATTAGGTCAATTGACTTTGAAATGAAATTTCCGGTGTTAAAAAGGAATTCTAACGCGAAATATAACATTTTAAATGTAATTTATTATATAAGTATTTCAAGTGTGTTATAAATTATTAATGTTATTAAATAAAATGTAGACATATGAAATTATTAAAAGTTATTATATTTGAGAGTTATACAAAACGCCGAAATTATTTCTTAGGCTGGGTGGATTTCTGTATTTATTATTTTAATGATTCTGTTCTCGAAATCCAAGGAATAATTTTGGCATATTATGCTATTTATTATAAACTAAAATAGTTCACATAAGACATATGTTTATAACGTGCCAGATTATGAAATAAAAAGGTGACGTACTTATGCTTTGTGTATTTTATTTGTAATAGTCTTCTAAAGTTAAATTAGGAACGCTTTGCCCAATGTCAACTATATCTTTTATTTACAAAAAAGGAGGAGGTTCTCAATTCATCTGTATGTTTTTTTTTGTATGTTGTATGCGATAACTATATTTATGAACCAATTTTGATGATTCTTTTTTGTTTGAATGAGGTTACCTGAGTAGTGGTCCTATTGAAATTCGAAGAAAATATTCCACATTTTCACGGGTGGCAAACTAGGGGATGAATGATTTTTGAGATCGGTTTTTTAATACTCTGTACTGAAATTATTATGATACCAAAATGACGGGACGAACCAGTTGTGCGCCTGGTAGTAAGTGACACGACTACCTATAGCAGTTAAAGTAATATTCAGAGCATTAAATCGCAAAGATCGGGCACTGCCACTAGGTCCTTCATCCTGACTTGACAAGTCAAGTGTAATTTCACCAGCACCCTTCAAGACCGGAACGTAGCAATACTCACATTACTGCTTGTCGGCAGAAATAGGTAAGGTGGAAGTATTTCCCAGGACGAACACTTTCACAAGGAGCTCTACTGCAACTAAACGTGTGGCACGTGCCATTTCTTTAGTGAAAATAACCAGTTTAAAACTTTTATGCGCTGTTACTCTGAACCATAGTTTCCCAAAGTGGTCACTACCGCCCCTGACTGGGCGCTGAACACTCCTAAAGGAGCCGTCAGAGCATCGGAAGCAATTGGGGGGACCTTGATGCTGCCCAGGGCGAGCTACCGCATTTGAAAAAAAAAACCCTAAATTATCTAAGTAAACTACACAACATCATTGTATGTTTTCCTTTTGATGTTTTGTGTTAATACAAAAAAAAAACGAATTTTTAATTATTTTTTGTGGCGATGAGTGCTACAGTTTTTTTATCTTTCCTAAGTGGGCGGTGAAAGAATAAGTTTGGAAAACTATGCTCTACCTTTATGCTAAGCTAACTTTGCTGAATCAGTTTAAAAGTGTCGGTAGTCAGTAGGGGAAAGGTGTACCAGATGATCCCCTTAGGGGAGAATGTTGGTAGTTTAAAAGATATTCAGCATAAAGCAGATGTAAAAGCGTTGAATGATAGAAAATTTATCTATTTACGTGTTGTCTTACTAAAAACGATTTATTTTTGATCTTTCATTATTATACTTGAATATTTTTAAAACCTTACTAAAGAATGGTCTTGGACACCGGGGTGTCCAAGATGATCCTAAGGGTATGAGTGAGATGGTCCAGGGGATCACCTAGCCTCTATTTAGGAATATTTCTAGGTTTTGGTAGAAACAAATGAAAACAACAACTTTTTAGACTTAACAAAATCCTCACTTATGTAATTTAGGTATATGAAACAACAATTACGGAACTTCGAGAACATATAATCCTAATTAATTTATATCTTACAGGTACCTAAGGGTGGGCGATATTGTTTTTTATGGCAAGTTGATATCCATCCTCGCCTCCATAATGTACTTTACGAGCTCGATTTCCTGTTTAACACATCTGATCTGATCTGTTTAACAGACCGTTTATTTTCACCTTAAGCCCGTTATTTTATGACATAACGCGTACCTATTGCTAACTATTTACTTGCCGATCTATGTGGCGTTCTCTAGTTTTTTAGATCATAGTCTCCCGATCATAGATTTCGTACGGATGGTTTTTCTTTAAAAAATTACGCGGCCTGATCTAAAACAAGAAAAAGCATTTATATTTGTAACTCTTATTACGATTCAGTTTGGGACCTAAAATGAATCGTTGTGAGACAGCGCTACATGAATTGTATATCACCATCCCGTTTTTTTGTCGTTACGAACCTATACTGAACTGTAGTAAGAGATCATGGTAAGGCGCCTGTACTCAGAAAAACATACAAATTAAATATAGTCCATTAACAATATATAGAGTACAAGATGATCCCCACGGATCATGTCGTACACCAAAACCATGGTCATCTTGCCCCAATTTACTTATTTTCATTTTTTGTTCGGCAAAATAACCTGTATGCTGTCTATTGTTATCACGCCATTAAAAAAGAAAATAGAGCATTATACAAAGCCAACCAGTACAAAAATCTTAGTAATTAATTGCTTAGAATGGAAGTTGCCTAAGATTTTAACCAACGTTACTTTAAATCAAACTCACACAATTTTTGTTTTTTTTCCACAAAAACGAACTCGTCACTCACATCGCTATTACGAATTGACCGATGAGACCACATTGATGCCTATATTTCACTGAAGAAAATATCTAGATGACATTACTAGTTTCGCAACAATTGAAAAGGATCGACTTACTTACTTACCTCCTAGGATATCTCGTACACCTTCCCCCTATTTTATGAATCACTCAAAAAGTTCAGTTTGAAAAACGACCTAATTATGTAAAGGAATAGTTCAAAACTAGAACTCAAAAACATTCCAGCCACTGGGCTCCCATACCTAAAATCCTATGGGACTGCGGTGTAATTTTATATCCCTTTGGTTCATATATCCACGGGATTGATGGTTACTTTCATTCTATGGAAGAAGGACAGACACCAATTCGTATCAAGGAAGAAGAAGATCTACATAATTTTTCTAAGTGACTAGTTTCCGTTTCATATATATCTTCTGTAAGAAAAATGTATAACTCGTCATATAATTATTTCTATTTACAACCTGCTCTAATGTGCATCTGTAGTTTAAATAATAGACAACTAAACATTAAAATAAAAAATTATTTATACATAAAAATACGCCACATAAATAATAAAAAACAAATTTTTTACACACACACACAACCACACCAAACTCAAAATGAAATTCATCACATAAAATTAGAAATACTACCTACAACAAACTATCCACGAAACATAAATAATACAGTTTACCATATCGTTCATTGTAAAACAATTAAATACCACAACATATATACAATTATAACGCATATCACTCACAAAAATAACCACCATACAATGTTTTTATTCATGCAATGCCGGACGCGATTCATTTTCTTTGTATATATAACTGTGTTAGTCAATTTATAAATAACATTTTCAAACTTTTAGATATGTACAAACAGCTACGAGCCATTACAATATTATTAAATAAAATTCGATAGTACCACTAATTTAATGCAATCAATAGACAATTTCAGCATTGCGGCAACAATAACTTGTGCCCCAGAAGAGTGTGCCCAGCATATAAACAATCCTACTACCTATATTAAACTATTGCATCAAAATATACGCAGTATAAACTTTAACTTCGTAAATTTTAGTGTCTTATTGGCCAGGTTTGACTTCTTGTGTGACATAATTGTTCTACCCACATTAGATGGATATAACGTATACCAAACTAACATTACTCATAATCAGAATGATGGGCTTGTAGTGTATATAGGAAACCACTTGGTTTGCGAAGTACAAGAGCCTGTTTTTATGGATGCTAACTGCCTAACCATAAAGATAGACGTAAACTCGATTGTGGTCGTGATTTATAGACCCCCAGCTTCTGTAACTTAGATAATTTTCTGCATTCATTGCACGATTTGCTGTCTACTTTTTCAAGTTATAAAAATGTTTTATTGGTGGGAGATATTAATATTAACCTACTCGGTGACAGTCCAGTAATATCTACGTACCTAGATACATTATCATATCATGGCCTCTTACCAGGTAGTTATACACCTACGCGACTAAACAACTGCCTAGATCATGTAATATTACGAACAAAGCAACCGGTTTATATCTTCACACTAGGTACCTCCATCACGGATCATCAGGCTGTTTTATGTTTTCTAGGCAAGCCAAGTAACTATGGGTCCAAAACATCCCGTCCCAATAAGTGCTATCGTAAAACGAATGTAGAATTGATTACAGCTCTGTGCAGTGAAGAAACTTTTGAGGAAGTTTACGGAGAGTCAAACGTAGAAGTAGCCATGAATCTTTTAGTAGACAAAATTTCAAACCTAATAATTAAAAATTCCTTTATTGTTAAGACCCCTAGAAGTAAAGTTTTAATCAAACCGTGGATAACGACTGGACTGTTACGCTGTATAAGGAATAGGGACAGCATGCACATGAAATTGTGATTGACACCGGACAATGAAACACTAAGGACTACATATAAAAGATATCGTAATTTTTGCAATGGATTACTAAGGAAACTGAAATATAAGTACGAACGTGATCAATTGCATAAAGTAAAAAATAATTCTAAAAAGCTTTGGCAAACCATAAAATCGGTGACAAATACTAGTAGGCAAAATTCTATTCCACAGGAGCTGGTGTATGGCAACAGTCTTATGACTTCTTTAAATAAAATAAATGAGTTCTTTTCCACAGTCGGAGAAACTCTTGCTAGGAATATCCCTACTAATATACCGCCCTTCCCAGTCAGTAGCTATGTTCATGGTAATTACACCTGCCATCTAAATTCATTCGTTCTCTTACCAACTGATTGTGAGGAGGTGGAAAGTATCATCTTAGGCTTAAAAAGTGATTGCTCCCCAGGTTGGGATATGATC